CGAATAACATCAAGTGTTTAAGTTTTCATCTAATACACAATCTGATTCTGCAAATGACACTGTGTGAAATTATTTTTTTGTGAGGAGCAAGATGCAGGGTCAGACCTGTGTAAGGTTCATGTGTGTCCTTCAGACCATCTGGGTGGTACTGCAATATAATTGTTAAATGAAAAGTGTGTACTAGAGCTTGGTTCAGTTAGTGGTGTGATTATAAGAGACTGGAAGGAACAAATGGAGCTGTGATCTTGAAGGTACTGAACTGCTGGAGTGCGTTCAAGCCATTCTTATGCAGGGCTATAAAGTAATATCAGCTGCCTCACCTTTTGCATGGATGGCATTGAGCAACTCTAAAAGATCAGTTTACATGTAGACAAATGTTCAGGTACCAAGATTCTTTAGGAGAAGAGTCGGTGTTTCCACTTGTACATGTTGCCCTGTTGTAGAAAGAGGTTATTTTTGTACAACCTAGAAAATTCTCCATAACTCATTGCAGGCTGGTTGTGAAAGCAACATGTAAACTGAGTATTTGTATTTGCTAAAGAACATCCTGCTTTTATAGCAACCATTGAAATATCAGTGGGAGGGGGTAATTTCATCAGCTCTAGGGTCGATCTGTGTATCAGAAGTTACATCTTAGTACATGTAATTTCACAGTGGTTGACTGTCAGGTTAAAAATAGTTTTGTTGACCACACACAGCGTAACATTTTTTAAATTAAATTTTAGCTGTGCCGACAGCTACAGAATTATTTGTTAAAGTCAGCGCTTATAGACACCAGCAGCTAAGGGGTGGACTTAAGATATTAACTAAATCAGTTGTATGGAGAAGACATACTTTTTTATAATTGTATTTCCCAAATACTAGCTAATACAGCTGGAAGGAGTGGTTGATAATTATAAAATCATTAAAAAAAAAAAAGCTTCATAAAAATCCAAGTTTTCAGGGAAAAAGTGAAATAGTTGTGTTTGTGTTGTCGTCTTTTTTTTTTTTTCCTTTCTTTTCTTTTTTTTTTTTTCCTTCCCCCTTGGGGTTCAGAAAGCACATGGCTTACTGAATGGATGGCAAAATGGTTTCAGTCTGTCTTAATTGGCTTCTAGATTTTCTTGCTTTTGCTGTAAGGACAATGAAATTGTTGGAAAGGAGAAAAGCAGTGGCTGTATTCTGCCGATTTCTGAGTATAATTGAATCATATGTTGCAGCAATTAAGTCCAATACAGGTAAAACAAAAACAAAAAACGTGGAAACTGAATGCTAGGAAGAGAATTCCATAGTTGGGAATGAAATGCTTCACTTTTATTGTAGCATTTGCATTTTCTAACAAGTGACTACCTTGCTGTGAATTAACAGCTCTAGTTCGATTTTGGGGGGATTTCTCTTTTAAGGCATAAATAACAAAGTATAGATTTCCAATGCTCATATCAAAGTTCACTGTCATTTGGTAGCTTTGTGCTAGGCTAGTAGATTTTATCTGGAATCATCTTTGAGAGTGTCCTGGTTCCGGCAGGGATGGGGGTAATTTCCCCTAGGAGCCGGCAGGGGGCAGGTATTCCATCCCACGTGAGCCATGCCCGAGCTATAAGAGGCGCTAGCTGGGGAGGGGAGAGCAGTCGCCACTCGGGGGTGGGCTGCGGCGGTGTGGGTCTGGTTGGTCCGCGCCGCGGCGGTACTGTAATTGCGTCTTCATATCCCTTTATCGGTGTTATTGTTTTGTTTTCATCTTCCCTTTTGCTGTTCTGTTAAATTGCACTATTTTAACCCACGAGTTTTGCCCCTTTCTGTCGATTTTTCCCACGGCTGTGGGAGTTGAGTGAGCGGCTCTGTGGTTCTTTGTTGCTGGCTGAGGCCAAACCATGACAGAGAGGAACACTGCTTGTGAGACGTTTGCATACTCCAAGACTACCAGGTGCACCTGTGGGGTTTTCGGCAGGGGCAGTGTTTGGGTTTGTTGTTTTCTTTTTAAGCATAACCACTCAGACACCACTGTGGTGTCATTCAGATAACATGCTGTGATGAGCTCCAGTTGCGGACTGGAGCTTTTAATGACTTTTAATGTTGTTTTCCCATTTTCATTATTGATTTTCCATCTATGACTGCTGGACGTGGCACATAGAATCATAGCATGGTTTGGATTGGAAAGGACCTTTAAAGATCGTCTAGTCCAATGTGCCTCCCATGGGTAGGGACATCTTTCACTAAACCAGGTTGCTCGAAGCCCCATCCAGCCTGGCCTTGAACACTTCCAGGGCAACCTTTTCCAGTGTCTTGCCACCCTCATCATAAAAAATTTCTTCCTTATACCCAATCTAAACCTGCCGTCTTTCAGTTCAAAACTGTTGCCCCTTGTCCTGTCACTACAGGCCCTGGTAAAAAGTCTCCCTCCATAATTTTTGTAAGCCCTCTTTATATGTTGAAAGGCTGCAATATGGTCTCTCTGGAGCCTTCTCTTCTCCAGGCTGAATGTTACCCAACTCTCTCAGCCTTTTTTCACAGGAGAGGCGCTCCAGCCCTTTGACCATTTTTTTGTGGCCCTCCTCTGGACTCACTCTAACAGGTCCATGCCGTTCTTGTACTGGGGACCCCAGAGATGCGGTACTCCAGGTGGGATCTCATCCTGTAAGTCTGTCCAGCTTGTTGGTGAAGACCCTCTTGTCCAACCTGGTCAGGTGAATCTCATCAGCTCCCAGCAGACCCAGCTTTCCCAAGCTAGATCCATGATCATAGAAGCCAAAACATTCACAATCCAGTACACTAACCATACTTGGCATATGTCATTGACCTGGCACAGTGATCACACTAAGTACTCTGAAATGAGAGAGGTTGTGAGCTAGGTCCTGATGTGTGTAATCCATACTCCTGGCGTAGCTCAGTTACCTTATGTGTTTTTAAAATCACATCTTTCTTCTGAATTGCTGAGATTCATCACATGAGATTACTTGCACGGGGAAATGTTGCGTTATTAAGACATCCTCTTTTTCTGTTTAGTTATCAATAAATACAGTTGCTTTTGTCTTGCAGATTATCTGCTTGCCCATATATTGATTTGTGTCCTCTAATTAAAAGTAAAATGTTACCCATTACTGGTTAAAGACAAGAACTTACAAATAAAACTGTTTTTTTTTCCATGGTACATCCACAGAATTGTGACCTTTTCCTGGATCCTTCTCGCTTTTTCAGGATATCACAATTGAACAAGGACAGTGTTGGTTGCTTTCCCAAATACTAAGACTCCAATGTGTGATTAATGGAGAATTTGTAGGTATTTCTTACTGTACTGCAAATGTGTTCATAGCATTTCATCAATGCTACAGTAAGAATGGCAACTTTTAAAAGGTCTTTAACTTTTTTTTTTTTCCTAGTCTGTAGTATTTTTTTTGACAGCTTAGTCTCTAATTGATAGCTGAAAAGGGTCAAGGAAATTTCAGGTAAAGACTGGAATATTATCAGCCAACCTCAGGTCTTTTTGAGAAATCTTTCTAATAGTAGAGTTCACCAAGAGAAATAATACCCTGTTTCTAGGATGTACTGCCTTGTTATTTTTTTCTAGCAGGGAAGTATTTCCATAAAATGTCTGCTAGAAAAGTAGCGTGCCCGTGCTTGCTGTCCTTCAGAAAAAATCTGAGTCAGCAGGATGGGAACCAGATGGATGGAAGAAGCGGAAGCATAATGATGGGCAGAAAATAATAAAAAAATGCAGATGTGCAGGGAGAGAGAACAGAGATCTTAAGAACTACAGCATAAAGGAAAAGAGGATTCAAAATGCATTATGGAGAGGACATACATATTTGGGGCTTAAAAAGTATACACAGAAAAAAGTTACTGTTTCCTAAGCCCAAGTGACCTCATTATGGACTTGCTTTCTTTTAATTCCCAAGGGGACATATGCCCAGACGCCTGTAGGAAATCTGGCTGCCAACTGGCACACGACCTTTCAAAGAGACCTAATTTTATATTTGCAGAACCTGGCAATATCAGCCACCTCCATCTGTAACAGGCTGCTATTTGTATTATCTGTTAAGCTGTATTTTAACATTTAATTTTAAGTTTCTTTGCCAACCTATTAATAAGGGCCAGGCTATTGAGAGCTGTCAGTGGAGCCAAAAAAGTGTGTTAATTTTTTGAGGTCTGTGGGTTCACGCTTTTGCTTTTCATGAATTTACATCTTTTGGCAGGCTCTAGGATATTGACTTGTATGAAGAAATATCATCTTCCCATATTTTAAGTCTGTATTGAGAGGAAGCTGGAATGAATCCTTTGTAGTAATAGTAAAAATCTGTTAAAATTGGAGGCAAAGTTACTTGCAGTACTGGCTGTAATTTTCCAGATAGAAATCAGAAAGTATTGAGCACATAATCATATTGTATAACGATTTGTCCAGCTAAATAGAATTTAATGTGGGTAGCGAGGGAATAGATTCAGTTCTCTTGCTCTGGCTCTACCTGCTGCAATAAAATTTTCAAGCCATCTCTGGCCAGCTTAGGGGGGGTGCCTGGTGACCTCTCTTATTAGCAGGCAGAGCTGCTTCTGCAGAGTTCAGGTGATGACAGGTGGCCTATTTGTGTTAATTTAATACAAGGAAGAAAGCCACTTCAGATCTGGAAGAGGCAAAATGGCCACTGCCATGTGGCAGCCACTGGTTCGGCATGGGTCTGCTTCAGTTTATGCTGATTGTTGCTCCAAGCTTTCGTTGATTTCAATCTGTCTTTAAACTTATTGACAGGGTCAATTAGTTCTTGTAATCACTAGTAACCAATGTCTGATACTCATATAAGTCTAACTGAGGAAAAAATCGATTTGTTTTGGGTGTAATTCTAGAATACTTTGTAAAATTATTCACATTATAAGAGAAAATGCACAGCAGCAATGAAATACTGCACCCAAAGCTCAATTGAGATGGATTCTGGAGTGTAATGTTGAAGCTGTAATGTTGAAGTTTGTCATTTATATGAAATTTATTAGTGTTTCTTTGGATTCCTGTTAATGTATTTTCTTGGTTTTTTCAGCTCTTCGTTGTAGTCTCCAGTTTCTTGGAAACATTGCAGCAGGAAATGGAGATTCCCAGAATAGCATTTGGAAGTGTGCTTTCCCAGACCTTTTCTTGTAAGCATGGATGCGGGTTTTTTTTCTAATGTAATTTCTGTGGTTATATTCAAATCTCTTGTACATGATAGTTGTGCCTCTACTAGCACCATAAAGCTTTGAAAAATAACTTTGGTGAGAATGGGACAGTTGAGACCATATCCTGTAGATGTTTTTTTTGTTAGTCAACCACAGGGGTCAGGATCTTTAAAAACCTACTTGTTCTAAACTAACAGTAAACTGATTTCAATTAACAGAAACTGGAAGAAAACTCTATTTCAAATTTTGAGCTTCAAACATAAGCTTTATTTCAGAGGTGTTTTCAAGTATATACTTTCAAGTATATACTTATACTTCTTTCCAAGAGCACAGCTTTTTCTTTATTCACTTTGCTGCTGTGCAGACCCGTCAGTATTTGTGGATCAGATGGAGTCGACAAAAGTGACTTAATCTTTGTGTCTTCCAGTCCTTTTGCCCACTGCTCCTAACCTCACCAGAATATCTTCCTGAAGGTTTGATGACATGTGTGTAATGAAATATTACATAAATGATTTTGTGCAGACACATGACAATATTGTTGATGTGTTTGACCAAACTTTTAATAGTGAGCTAGTAAAAAAGGCACATTGATTCAATTTGATAATAGTTATGTGTCCGCTTATCAGCACTGGATGAAGGAAGACCTTATGATAATAGAAGCAGATGATTATTATGGTTTCACCCTATTTCTACATCTCCAGTTAGCTCCAATTTAGCATTAGTTTCGTAAATTATCTGTTAAGTTTGACCTTCAGCTAGTAGTTGGATGGTTGGGTTTTTTTGCAGATGGCTTCTGTCCCTCTTAGGCAATGACAAACTCATGATTCTCTAAAAGACAGCAAAGAACAACTACTCAACAAGCTGAATGCCACTAGTCTGTTTTTCTAGGGTCAGTTTTAACTTACCCTCTGAACTCTCATTTTCTCTTGAAGGACATGCCTAACGTACAGTGATGAGAAAATTGTTGCCTATTGTTGTATGGTCCTGTTCACCTGCCTTAATTCAGAGAAAGTGAGAGAACTACTGGATCCTGGGAACTTGACTGTGGCTCTTCATGTCCTGAAAGTCTACACAGAGCAGTTGGAGACTGAGTGGTCGTATGTATCTTTAGATTTTTTTCCCCCCTCTTAATTAGGTGGGGTTTTTTTTACTGTAAATCTCTGTATTAAAATGTCTAAATTTGTGACACTGCTAAGTAGTAAATGAAGATCTATTTAGAAGTTAGTAATTTGGTATAGAGATAATTTTCATTATATTTTCACTGACTGATTTGATTGCTGCTAAACTAAGACTACATTTTTGTGGAGGATATTGACAGAAATTTTAAAATCATGGTCTTCTCTTTTTTAAATGAAATGGGGTTCTAGAATGCAAATTAATTTATACTTGTGTGCTGGTTTGTGGAGATTTTTGAAATAAAGTTAATGTAGAATGTAGTCTTACAGACTTTGGTTACTGGGTCGTGCCAGGAAGACGTTTTTAACTGATCTGTTGTCTAGTGCAACATGTGATCATTTTTATACCAAACAGAGAATACATTTTATGAATCTTGCACATTTTATTTTCATACCTTAGGAGCACCTAATCAGTGGGTTTATTCCGTTGAGCTTTTATATTTTTTGTTTATGGCTGTTCTTGTAAATGTTGTTGTCAATTATGCATCTGAGAAATGTTCTGCCCTGCATCAGCAAGGAATACACATTCAGTTAATTGTTATATGATGCATTCCAAGGGGAGGAAAAAAAAGGATAGTTTGTATGTTTTTGTAGCATTCTTTTGATGGTCATGTTTAAATTCAAAATTTAATTAGGAAGAATTGTCAGGGTTTTATTAGTTATTTGGAAAGTCTCTAAACAGAGTTAAGATGATTGAATGAAAAGCAAATGTCATTCAATAGTTTGCTTTTGTACTGAAAAAATTACTTTAAAATTTGTTTGTCGCTGGGCTTTTTTTATAACCAGGTCAATTTGCTTATGACATAAATCGTTTTCAGAAAGCAAACTTAAAGTTTCGGGGTTAGGCAACCAGACTTCTATTTCAAAAGTGACAAACTGAGTCTTTAGTTTTGGCATCTGTCAATATAAACACGTGAAAGATTGCTTTTCAGTTAATTATTTTGATTATCCTTCATTTTCTTTATGTATTGAAGATATGCTGAAATGTATTTTGACTGAGATACGAAAGCCAGGAAGAGCTGGAAGAGGTTGCTATGGTGTTAAATTTATATTTTGAAGGTAATTGTAGGATAAATGCTGCATCAAAATAAATGCCGAGGTATCCATTTCCCTGGTCTTTCTAGTCCGAAGTTTATTCTGTTGATGTTCCGATGAAAATGTCTTGCCTCCACTATGGATGTTTGTGGATGGGAAACAGTCTGTTTTCAGAGTAGTCTTGAAATTACAGAGGGGCAGACTTCTACACAAGATGTAAGACTATGAGGAAGGAAAAGAGATGGGTAGAAAAGAGTAATCCTAGCCGTGCCATAAAGCAGTTGCAGAATGTTTGCCCTCTAACTCTTGTCAGAACGCCGAGTTCCTCACACAGGAAATGAAAAATAACATAAAAAAAAAAATGCCTTGGAATATCTTCCCAGACACTAAGAAAATACATTTGGTTTTCTTTCATAGTACTTTAACATTGGCTAATTAAGTCTCAAAGCTCATTATCAGTTTTCCCAAGTGAAAGAAAAAGTAATGAGTTTGTAGTGTAAGTTTCTTGGCATTTTATACAGTCGTCTTGAACCAAATTATTAATGGAAGTCTTTCAGTTGGCACTGTTTTCAAGTCAACACAGGTAAAGTGCATTCACAAGTGTAAAACCTAAACCAAAATGTGTATTGCCATAGTGCAGTATCAAGCGTTGAATAGGTAGTCAAACCGTATTACCTTGAAAACAAAAAAGATAAGTTGTTGCTAGAAAGGGGCTGATTTTTCTGTCTCTTTGTAGCTCTAGAGCCTTTCTGTGATTCATCTTGTACCTGTTTCCCCCTGTTTCTTGATCCTTATTTCATATTTTCTTCTAATACTCCATTTCTTGTATCTCCTATGTCAAGAAACGCATTTACTCTCTGGTTCTCCCTTATGTTCATCTGTTCTTATTGTGAGATAGTAATTGTCGTGGCTGAGGGTAATTTAAATGGCAAAATATGTTCTTTCTTCATATTAGATTTTTGTTAAATTATTTCCACTCTGAAAGAAATTATAATATTTATATATTAGAATACATGTAGTATCTTTGGTCTACTTGGTGTGGAGGAGGAGGTAAGAAAGTAACATTTTCACATCCTTTTTTACTTAAAAAAACCCAAAAACGGTTGGTGCAAGAGGTTTATTTTTTCATGTTTTGAGTGGAAATCTGCTACTGTGTTCCATTTCTTACACAACACTGATTTAAGCAAAGTCTTTTTTTTCTGTTTTTGGTTATGATTTTTCTTTCTTCTTTTTTTCCCCTCCCCTCTTCCAGTTAGCCATAGGTCAGTTTCTCACACTAATGTAATGCTTTTTGTCTTAGATCATACGTGCATCTTGCGAGCCTGTACTGCATTATGTATTTCTGTGTATTTAAAGGTTTGGAAAAGCCTACAAAGTTAGTAGTCTAGTTACAGGTAGATCAATCACTGTAAACTCTTGCAATATTTTTTTTTTTTTTTGCAAATTATCAAGAGGTTTTTTTTCTTGTTATCTTGGCAGTATTGACGCAGCATGTATTTCATAGGAAACAAGTTGTTCTTAGTTTAACTTTAACTACAGAGGATATTCAGTTTATCCTATGAATAACTGACTACGTTTTCACAAGGTACCTACAGCTTGTATCTTGGGTTTTTTCTTTGCATTTTTATATTATCTTTCCATTTGTAAAGCACATACTTTAAGTGTTTACAAGTATTACACCTGATGTCACGCAGCTGAACCTCCCAGTCTAAATTGTTTTCTCTTTTTTTTTCTGGAATATTAGAATTGGTTTGTGTTGAGGGTAGTCTTGAGTTGAGTCTGAAAGCTTGTTTCTTTTATTAGCACTAATCCTTCCACTGTGAGAGAAACATCGATGGGTACAATTGCCTAATGTCATGATGATGCCTTCTTTTGCTTGCTTCCTTTCTTATTGCTGAGCGGTGGGAAGCAAGCTAGGCAGCTCTTGTGCTGACTTTCTTGTGTCCTGCCTACTAGAGCAGTTTTCTCTGCTGGTTCTGTGAATTTAGGGGAAAGCTCTACTTACGCCAGCCTTGTTGAATCTATTTTCCATAGAAAACTGTTGTGAACATTTCACCGCTCACTCTTTACTCGCATAAAGTGCTGCTCTGTTCCCAGAGCAGGCAGTATCCAGAAATGGCTTCCTAACACGTATATCCCTGTGAACAGAAGAGCTGAACAGTAAACAGGATTTCTTATTTTGGTAGAAGTAATGTTATTTACTTTGGCTAATGAAAGCTGAAGGTTCTTGTCTTGAATATAAAAAGATTTTTTTGACAATAATAAGTGAAGAGCTAAGCTTTGTCCTTGGGTCGTTGTTGGTCCTGATGTGTAGTAATGCTGTCTCTTTAGGATGGCTTTTGAAATTGTGTAGGTTTGCGTGTGCCTCATGCCGATAATACCTGTTCTTTCATTAGAACCTTCTATTTCTAAAACGTGTTTGGATATCAAATGAATTGCAGTTTTCTGCAGTTGGGTGTATGAAAGACAGATACAGTCATTGCTGCTTTGAGGATATGTTTAGAATAAGTTTGGACTCTGGTGTATTGCTGCTATTGCTTTGGTGTCCCTTTTTTATCATTGCATGTAATCTTCCTGGTTTGAACTAATTCTTCATTCATTACTAAAGCACTTGCCCTCCCCCCTTCCCTTCCCCACTGGGTACTTATGTTACTTTCTGATAGGGAGGAGCATGCATCAGATATAGTCAGGTAAAAGTGCATAAAAAGATTTCTGTCCCTTTTCTTACAATGTTGAAGCTAAGGTTTGGATGCTTCCCTGGCTGGACTGTAGAAAAAATACTTTGTCAGCAATTAATTGAAAATTTGGAGCTGTACTTCAGCTCTCACTGTAGTATATACCAGTAGGATTGCTTAAATGAATTTACATAGCAGCGGTATGTGCAACAGAGCCAGTACTCTGTTGTAAAGATTTGGGTCCCTCGTGCCACAGCTAACAAAGTTCATAGCAACCATTTTTAAGCGGCTGTTATGGCATCATATGGCTGAGCCATATAAACTGTTCTTCTTCCAGGAGGTTATGCTCACTTGCTGGACTCAGAAATCACTGAAATTAAGATGTTCTTTCTTTTAAAGTTAAAAATATTACTTAATTCCTGCCTACCTTCTTGTCTCTCAGCTGGAGCATCTGGTTTCTCATTATACTGAATAAAAAGTGACCGCCACGTGTGTTTATTCCTCTTGGCTGGGCTTTCTTGCTGTCAAATGCTGCTTTTAGGTATTGAAAACCTTTCTTTTAATAACCAGGCAAGTTTTGGTTATAGGCAAAACTTTTATTCATCACTTTATTCCCATTTCTTTTATTGTGCACTGAAATTTATGACTTAATGTTCCTCTAAGTTAGTATCCAATGAATTCCACAAATAAACACTTATGATGCTCAAGTTATTTTTGCAGTTGCTGCCATGAACCATTAGGACAGAGAGAGGACATCCAGGACAAATATTTGGATTTGAGGCCATTGGCTGAGTTGTAGTCTCTCCCGTGGGGTCCTTACTACTCCATTTGGATAGCACATGTTGGGTTTTCTACTCTTCGCCCATCATGGGAGGGCAAGCACATTTTTAAAATCTTTTTTTGGTGAATTGGTAATTCCTCCTGTGTTCATTATGCATGTTTAGAGTCCAGTTTTCTGTCTCCAAGTTGGAAAAGTCCTTAGGGAAAGTTCAGGAGGAACTTCTTTCCAAGTGTGACACCTTCAGCTTCTCCCTCCAGTCTCGCAGTAGTTCTGTAGGGAGATTTTGTCAGAGGAAATCTGAGATTATTCTGAGCAGTTCCTCAGAGCTCCTTTTTTAGAAACAGTTGTTGGTAGTGGACCTTTTGCAGTTCCTCTTCTGTCTGCCATAAACCCCTCTCGCAGTTAAAGATAGTGGAGGAAGTGTCTTTAAA